GACGGAAAATATTACAAAAATACCCCGAAATAGAGTCTGCCTTATTCTTCAGCCTGCCTGAATATCCCGATGACTTCTCCCTGACTCATTAAACAGTTGGATTGTCTGCATCAGAACTGTCTATGAGCATATCAGCTGGTATGGGGCTGCTCATGGCTTAAAAGCATCTTCTTGGAGCTGTTTCAGGTTGTGCAGAGATAAGAAGCCAACTTTGGGGAGAGCCAGGAACTGACCTAGTTCAGAGTTCACCTCTCCAGCAGAATGTCTAATAGGTGTGGCAGCTGAGGGGTCCACCCATGCGCACTGAACAGCCCAGGAGATGAGGCATGCAGGAAAAGGATGAACAAACATTTAGCCAGAGCACATGCTGGCTCATTGGCAAATCTTCTTACAGAGCTTAGGCATAAGACAGTTCAAGTTTGAAGTTCTGAAATTCCCAAATTTTCCTCAGCAGGATAGAGTCTAKACTCCCATGTTGTCCTGTCATTTTTCTGTTGTGCATGTCTGTCTTCTTCAAAACAACTCAAGCCAGTTTTAGTGGGGTTTTTTGACCATTTTCTATGCTGATGGGTAGCATGTTAAAATGGTTTGGTGCACCATCTGATGACCACCAGGGATTTGCACAAGGGAAGCACCAAGAGTGCACAACATGTAGCTGAAGTGGGCAGGGTTCAATCCACTACACAAGCTCTCTTGGAAACTTCTTGCCATTACAGCACTGCTCAAGAAGGCTAACACACAAACACATTACAGGGCTTTCTGCTTATGATTTGTCTCCAAAATCAGTCTGAGATTCAGGATGTACCTCTTAAGAGTCTTCCTTGCATAGCAATCACACCAAAAGGATTTTCTCTCTAACATTGTTCTGTTAGAATAGGAACTTAAACCTTGGCTTCTCAAATAGAGAACATTTTTTTGCTGCTTGAGGACTAATAAAAGTACAGAGTATGAATACCAATTCCTGCTGCTCACTGTATCCCAATAGGGTGACCCATACTTTCAGTGTATATCTCAGCTTGCAATCACAGCTGCTTTTCTACCATACTCCTCTCCTTCCAGAAGATATTCCATGACTCCATCCATCCTGACAGAAACTGACCTTAAAAAAGAAAAAAAAAATTAAGGATAACTTTGAAACAAAGGCAGTGATGTAGTGATGTGAAGGAAGCACTGACTGTTTCTCTGATAAATGACAGCCTCCCACAGCCATTTTTATGACAAAAGCACACAAGGCAGTGACACCAGTTCAGTTGTTCTAATAACTTGCTGTTGCTGAAATGAAGAAGCCCTATTTCCGTTTAATTCTCCCATCTCTGRTTTGTAGCTGTGTGGTCCTGTAATTTCTCCTGAGCCTTCATGCCAACTTTTGCTCTACCTGGCCACTCTATTGAGCTACTTAGCTTGCTAGAGCAGTAAAAAAATGTAAAACTATTTATTTTCTGGCCTAATTTCTTGCTGTGTGATTTTGAGAAGTAAACTCATGGAACAATCCTGTAAGTCTCAGTGTCAGGGCAAAGTAAAAGATGGAGGAAGGCTGTTAGAAGCTAAGGACAGAGCAGGGTTTCTCACATATTTTTTTTTAGCAGAAATTCAACATCTGGCTCAACTAAGTAGGGAACAAGATTMTAAGGTGCAAATGATTCCCAACGACAGAAAAAGGAAGATAAGGCATTTTACAAATAAAGAAGAATGAAAAAWATTTTCTCCATATAAGAAAGGAGGATTTCAGATCTGCCACTATGTTAAAAAAACCTGAGACAACAGCTAAAAAACCCAGCAAAACTGAACCAATGAACAATAACCTTCTATAGGATCAGGAAGAGATGCYAATAGCAAACAAACAGAAGAGGATAAAGTTCTGACATTAGTATATATATTTATCACTTAAGGTTTCCCCAACAGACTCCTTAGAGGGTATATTATTATCTCTTCACATCTTGGAAACCCTTGAATAAATTGATTTTGTTAACAAGTTGCACTGAATTAAAAAACTTAGACTGATCCTATAGGAACACTATTCTATGGCTAYCAGTTCTGCATAGAAGAAATGGAAAGTTAGCAATAAGTTGCCTAGTGCATAGCAAGACATTGATTAATATGCAAGGACATCCCTTTCTTTAGGCTCTGAAGTCAGTACTGCACACTTATTAAGAACTGTGTGTTGATACATATTTATAGCTTACAATATAAACAAAAACTTGACTTACTTTATTTTAATGGTACTGCATGATGTAGGGTTTATCACCAGCAAAGACAACACTGAAAATATTTCATAATACCAGTTTTATATTAACACTGGAGCATTTTGCTCCTCTAATGACATCCACTGCCAAGCATCCATGTAGGTGCTGCATACTTGGAGAAGTGATACAAAAAAAAAATCTGCCATCTACTTGTGTACCCATTTAAAGTGTACTCCTTTAAAGTGCTTCTATTCAAAGCTATTACTACATAAMCAGAGCACACTAAGCTCAGYCTGGTCCTGGATATGATTTAGTTTRCTGTGAATGACTGCCAAGGCAGAATATATGGCCCACCCCAATTTCAACCTGCCCTAATTCCCTTTATGACTTTATTATTTAGTGCTGTTTTACTGCCTAGACCTAAACAGGAAGACTCTGGGCGTTCTCTGTTCATGAAGTGGGTGGGATAAAGCTCTTTAGAGAAAACAAAATATGATCCACCTACAGATCATGTTAGGCCAGCTCCCCAATTTCCTCTAAGTAGAACAGAGGCCTTTGTTGCCTTAGTTACTGGCATCATCTACTAGTCAACAGCAGAATCCCAGTCTCCATACAGTACATCCTCCTGCATTTTTGATGGCAGTGTAGGATGGAAAAGATTTATTTCTCTGTTTTTTTGTTTTGTTTTGTTTTGTTTGTTTGTTTGTTTTTTGTAAAGAGGAAAAAGTAGAGTATTTAAGTCATTGCAGAAAATAAATTAATTTTAAAAAAAAATCAACTCTCACAAAAAGATTCTGCAAGGCCACTRAATGGAGCTAGCATTGTCTGGGAGAGAGTTAGGGACTCCAATGAAGCAACATTCCTTTATTTTCCACTTATTTCTTAACAACAGAAAGAAGGAGCACTGAAAACGGCATGCTAAGTTTCAAGGCACAAGTAGACAACAGCAGCTACATGGGTAGAGCCAGATCACTGAAGCTTGTGAAACACAAATGCTCCAGATAAGATTTAAACTGYTCTCCTCCCTAGCAGTGAGGGTATTGTAGTGCTATCACCTATTTCTTCKTGGACACAGAAGCTGGAAAACACAACCCATTCTTTTCATGTGAAGCATGATCAAGTCCAATTTTCTTCCTTCATGTTTGAAAACAAAAGCTTCAGCACAGTCACACTGGAGCAATGATTTACAATGAACACGAGTACAAGAGAAATGAAGTGCTCAAGGTAGCTGACAGAGTTGAGATGAGATGAGGGTGAGTTAAAGGAGCTTGAACCTGAAAATAATGCCATAGAAATACTAAGGCTAATCTAAATGAACAAGCTAATGTTTTCTGTCATTGCCTGCAGTGAAGATTTAGTGAATCAGTGAAGATCTAATCAGGATGCTGTTGATTGGTGTGATTTTGAATCAATTCAGAATTTTTATAGATCAACACAGATTTTAGAAGTTAACAACTAGAGTTTTGTAAGCATCTCAGATTGTGATCAATCATCAATGAGGTTGAGAACACTAGGATGCAGTTTTAAAGCATTTAAATAAATTTATTATTTTTTTTACTTATAGTACTAAACTATACATATTAAGTGTCCAACACTATTTCATCATTAATGCCATTTTACAATAATCCTGCTTTGTTCAGCTAAAAGTAAAATATTTTATTGGCATTTCCAATAATTTTCTGACAGCCATTTTYTACAGTATTGTAACATTATTCAAATTGAAAAATATTGTTTAAGTCGACCTTCCATGCTGTTATTTAAATGGCAACTCATTTAATACAAACATCACAAATGTGTAATATCTCAATTTTTTTAACGTCAGTTTCAGTGTATGACACTTTTCCTAAACAGAAACTTCAGCTGAAATTACCTTGCATGGTTCCTTTCCAAAACTAGAAGGCTGTTTAAAAGTAAAATGTTTTTAATGACTGTCAGAATTTAAATTGTGGCAAAATCCTTAACAGCAGGATTTGCAGTCCATTTCTTCTGCAAAGMCTTTTAGTGGAAATGTACGTTTGAGATGAAGGGATTGATGAGACACGGTGTTATTTTATTTCTGGCTACTCTATTTAATCAGAAATCTTATTATTTGTACCAACACCAAATATCAAGCATGACTTACAAACATTTGAAATGCTTCTAAGCTTCAGACTGAAGACCTTGAATGTACAAATCCTGTCCTTACTCGCATTTCTAAAAGTGTTTTTCTACAAGGATCCAGCATGTATCTCTTTTCACCATCTTTGTATTTCCCTAGTTTTCATTCCTTTTTAATGGAAAGCATAATAGATGGCTACTACAGGCTATCTTCAATGCAGTCAACTGAAGCTATATAAAATGGAGCCATGATAAGCCCCATTAAAAAATAAAAACTTTTAATGGGAAGAATGCTGGACTGAGCCATACAGCTGAACAGAGGAGTCAACGAGCACACCTTGGCTTGTTTCTCAAAACTCTTAACATTTTATTTTTACAGAAGTCAAAACCTGAGCAACGATTTTTATTTTTGTGTGGAAATCTGTCTAAAATTGAGAAAGGGTGGCTTGAGCTCCGCTGGTTTTTTTTGAGGTTGTGAGATTTTTGAGGGCGATAAGGGCGCTGGGGTGCGCGGGAGCTTTTCCTCAGCTTCCAAAAGCGGGCCAGGCAGAGATGACACATTCAAACAAGAGCCCCCCGAACCAAAGCAAACCTCAGAACCAGCACGATGCAGGGGAACAGGGAATTGCAAGGTTTCCCAAGGAAGCCCTTAAGCCCTGAGTGGCACAGGGTAGCGAGGCGAGGCCGCGGGCCGGCGGGGCGGTGCGGGGCGGGGGGCGGGCGGTGCGCGCTGTCCCGCCGGAGCGGAGCGGAGAGGAGAGGACAGGCCTGGCCATGGCCACCGAGCCGGGCGGGCCCCGGGCCACCACGCCGGGCCAGCAGCTCCGTGCCCTCTTCTACGTGCTGCCTCCCGGGGAGAGCTCCTTCCGCACGGTGGAGGAGGTGCCTGACTACGTGGAGAAGGTGAGAGTCCCCTCCTTTCCCACCCTGGGCGCATCCCTCGCCCCCCCCCGCTCTGTTTTCAAAAGCCCCACGCAAACCACGCCCGCAAAAGGGCACCTAAATTAAGATTAAATCGTTTTTCTCTTCTGGGCTTTCTGCCTGTAATCTGCCAGTGTAACCGTGACCTCTATTTCATGTATTTAAATGGTGATTTCTCCTGGCACCAAGAGCTAAAGTTTTCGAGAGAAGCACCCCAGATATCTGAGGGTTGGTGGTAACATTATATCCAGCAGCACTGACCAGATGAACAGTGACAGCAAACTGTACTGAGTAAACCAGAAAATATGATACTGTGCCTGGCTGTTATGGTTTTTAAAGCGATCAAAAAGTCAGGTCTCTCTGTGCCCTCAAGTCAAGCTCAGTCAAAGACAGAAAAATAAAAGGTTTCTAATTAAAATAAAAAATAAGGATTGTTTAAGAGAATGTAGAACAAATATTTGTGTTGGGACAGTGCTGTCCTAAACATCCAAGGCAAGAGTACGGAGGTCAAGGGTGAGAACTCCCTTGTCAGCAGGCAGCAGCTTATCCTTTCTTCCCCTCCTGCCCTGCCCATTTATCCACTTCCAAGAAAATACCTTTGCTCCCTTCAGTCCTACCTATTGCACGTATCTCGATCGTCAGCTCCTCCTGAACCCAGATCGATGTCAGCTGTTCCCACAGACAGCAGATTWACACTACTTTGCCCTTGTCAAAGTACATCTGTTCCAGTTTCACTGAAAGCTGCGCGTTGTACACGGGTCTGGGTGGTTTTGACCATCTCCTCTGGCAGGTACACCTTGCACTGCTGTGCAGCAGCTGCTGTCAGGCTGTGGACTGTGCAGAGCACTGCAGCACCCTCAGCAGCTTTCTGGGAATTGTAGTAAGCAGCAGTCCCTCGCTGAGGGATGTTATCAGCAAAGGCTGCCTTTTGCATAAGGTAAACAGAGAGTGCTGCAAGCCCAGCCTGTGTGTGCAGTRTCTGGTCGATGGACTGCTGTCCTCWGAGGTGTTTTGCAACTRRGCTATAGCGTCATGRTCGAGGAAGCTCCATGGTTTTGCCTAGTCAGCTGATATCTCAAACTCTTATCTACTATGTCAGTCCCTTTTACTGTTCCCACATTTCCAGCTGAATGTCATCCACTTTCTTGTGCACAGCATTTCTTAGCACCCTTGGGCTTTCTTTGCCCTTTCTTCTCAGACATTAGCCCAACCTGGAATTTCTTTTACTCGGCACGCAGTTGTAAGTCTGTGAAAGGATTCTTAATAGTTTGAATTATGAAAGTACCTGCAGATTTCTTTAGAGCAYTGTTGTGATAAGTTTGTAAAGGAAGATTTCTCACAATAAAAACCTCACTAAAAGTAGTTTCCCACTACAGTTATATTTTCCTTAAATTACTGTCTTAGTTTAGCTGTTCCAGATTTCCCTCCTGACAGTGCATTTGTTGCKAGAATAAGATCTTTTGGTGCTTGTTTAAGTGGGTATATAGAAGTATTTCAGTGGCATAACTGTTTTAAGTCTTTGGCTTTGATCTGAACTTAAGAGGAGTTTATCCTTCCTCTTCTGGCCATGTTTATGGGMAGATGGTAACTATCTACAGTCCCTCTCCTGCTGCTTTTCTTGACTTTTTAGGAAACAATTTCCAGAGCCATGTATCCATTGTCAGTAAATGTAACAGTGACTTGATGAGCCTTTCAAGGAGGACTTGGACTCCTAACCCCTTTTATTTATACTTAGCAGATACAGGAGTGGATGTCTGAGCTCAATGTGACACAGAATGAAAGAAATTCTAGTATAGAACTGGTAAAAAATGAAGGCCTCAGCTCAAATCATTTACTCTAAAAGACAATAATGATGATGTGTGTGTGGAACAAACACACTGATTACGTTGGCGTCCCCTAAATCGAGTGGGATTTTTTCTTTTTCTCTGAGACACTGTAGTGGAACTTGTGTCTCAGATCTGTGACCTRTTGGATATCAGATGCATGAGGCTATTTCTAYSCCATTATATGACATGGCTACAGCTGTAGAGATATGTACCTTCCAACATTAGACAGGTGGCAGTGTCACCAAAACTGCGGGAAAAATAAAAACTCTTCAAAAACATCTTTAGTGTTAGAGCATCAAGGCATCACTTTACTCTGGTCAGGATGTTGTTCTGGCCAGGATGTGCAACAGAAATAGTTTCATCCACACATTACCCGGGTGTGCAGAGAAAATCATTCCATCACACATTTTCACCTATGCAGTCAAAACCCATAGAAATTCATTGGTTCAATGTTCATTGGTCCTAAGTTGTGCAGTTCTTAGCACACAGCACACACTTAGTTCTTAGTGGTTTCCTTTTGGATCTGGATTTCTTCATCTCAGGTGCTAATGAAGTCCTCATTCTTACCTCTCTTTTCCCAGGCCAGGTGTTTCTGAGCATGCCAGGGGTGATGTTTGAGTTTGATGTTCGTTAATGGTCATTAATGGTTGTTTTCTTTTGTGTATCTCCTGTGCTTACTCCCAGACTGTTGAGATGTTAAGCTCATTATACCTTGAGGGATCAAACAGTCCTTGGAAAAGAAACTTCAATTCCCTTCCCCTGACAAAGGTGAACAAACCCGACTAAAGTTATAAAATAAAATCTTCTAAAAATTTTATCATTTCCATCAGCAGACTCTTTAAATTCACTCAAATATTCATGGTTTAGCAACCTGCAGAATTGAGCTGGCTGGTTTACAAAATATAGGCACACTTCACAGGAATGGCACCTTTGAGGTACCTGTACTGTCAGATCTGGGTAGGAAATGACAGCAGAGGGTGGGTGAAGTTCAGCTCTGCTTTTGAGAACAGCTTAACTTGGGCAGTGTGCTTTCTGTCTGTGGTTATATTGCTTCCATTTTCAGAAGCAGTGGTCCCTGCATTGTTGCTCTGTGTGCTGGCAGAGCTGCATTTGTCCCAAGTCCTGTTTAAAAAATGAGCTGATCAGCTGCTCCCAGTGACTAGGGGCAAAGCTCTGCACCAGTGCCGAGGGAAAAGTCACCCTTTCAACAAATCTCCTCAGTTCTTGGAAAAGGGAAAAATTGAACCTTGGATAATCATCATAGAATTTGTTTTTATTAGAGTTTTTGTTATGTAGAATTCAAAACCCTTGATTTTTCCCTTATTTCTAGGATGTAAATTTTCTTTCTCCTGGACAGAACATCCTGACTTTTAAAATCTATACTGATGCTTTCCCCTTCCTTTTAAGAGCATCCCCTTTCCTATGGGTGTAAGATTAGGCTCTGCATGCTCTACTGATTATTTTTGGTTGGTGTTTTTTTTTTTTTTTAATTCTCTCACAGTCTACATAAGCAGAAGGAATTTTTTTTTTTTTTTTTTTTTTTGCCAAACACAGTTTTCATGAACCAAAAATTCACTTTGTACCTTGCTTTGGTCTGAAATTATCTACTGTGCTCAGTAAAGACTTCTATGAGTCACATTTCAAAAGAGAGAGTCCTTCTGCTGAGAACCCCAAAATGAAAACTTTAATAATCACTGTTTTTCTTTTCTATTTAATCTCTCAAGRGCCTAAAGAATAAGTTCACATTTAAACTCAATTCACATTTTGGGGTTTGCTTCTAAATAATGACGCATAGAACCTTCATACTTAGTTTTACTTGAAAGTTGAGATKCTTATGTAATAAGGATCTGGGACTTTAAAAAAACAGAAACTGTTTCAAGAATTGCAATAAATCTATGAATATATGCTGAGTTTCAACCTAGGATATTATTCTTTGCAACAGTATAATGGTGAAACTGACTTTAAATGGTCCTTTGCATTCTGTAGAGTTGGTTACTTATAATAGTACCTTCTTACACAGTACTCAGGGTAAGGCTTTCAAGTTAGGGATCAGTTATTCAAGTAAACCAAAAGCTAATGCAATTCTCCACCAAATTTCTGCTGATGGRCAAAGAGAAAAAAACCTGGAAACAYRGTGAGAGTAAAACATTTATGGACCAGAAGATACCAAAAGGATCTGGCTTATGTCTCTGACTTGTGATGCCAGAAATTGCTGTTTCTTAAAGTAGTACCATTTTGTTTGTAGGGGTAACTCTTGAAAACAATTGTAGAGATGCCCATCTTCAATGGATTCCTTAAATGTCTTCACTGTCATTTTAACTTAAACAACAACAACAACAACMAAAACAAAARAAAAAGGAAAAACAACAAAAAAACAGGGAAAAAAAGAAGTAGTGGTTAGGCTAGTGAGATTATTTTCTCTCTTACTGGCTCCTTTTTTCCTGAATTATTTGCATTCTCCTTCTGTTGCWTCACATCTCATCCTTACACTGTAGGCTGTTTGGGACAGGGAGTGCCTTTTCATTCTCCATCACAATAGCTTCATGATCRCATAAATAAAACATACTAGCCTTGAGGTAGTTGATCCCATTGATCTACTTTGGACCAAGCTTAATGTAGGTGTGTGAGAGAGATTAGTAATTTCTTAGATAGTAAGAGGTAAGCCATAAATCTTTGCTTTTACAAGCTCCTTGATGAGCAGGAGGTTAAGGATGTCTGTAAGTTTCTTTATCCTACTTGCTATGACACTCCCCATTGTGAGTCAAAAAGTGGTGTCAAATGCTTGGCTGTTTCATAGCTTCCCAGTGGGAGAGAAATATTTAATGAAGTCAATGAGAAAGAAGTTATAATAGTGTACGTTAGTATAAAGTCAAGTATTTCAACTGTTTCAGAGGTTGCTTGGTAAAATGAATCATTACATGGAATACAAACATCATACATTTCCTATTAACTGTTTCTATTTCATGAATGAGGCACTATACTTTCTCTGTTCTGAGCCCCTTGAATTTGCTGTGCAGTTCTTGCTGTTCCATGCCTTAAAACTGCTTGTAGTCTGTGCTAGAGCTGCCTCCTAATATTGTTATTAAGTGTTTTTTAGTTTTTCTTATTAAAATTCTTTTTTCTCTGCTGGAGTGTACAGCTGTGATCATCAATCTTTCTTTGCTAAGTTAGGAATCTGTTACTTGATTTTATCAATTAAATTACCTTTCAATTACCTTGTCTACTTAGAAATGAAGCAGCTATAGAGAGCAAAACAGGGACTATTTATGTTTTCTGATAATGTTTCATTGATTTCAAATGGAAGGTTTTAGGGKTTTATTATTCTTTTATTATTCTCTTTTATAATATATTTTATTATTATATTATTTATTATTAATTTCAAATATTGAAAGATTTTACCACATTGGTTTTCGTGAGTGGTATTTAGGCTTTATGCATAAGATGTTTAGGCTTTATGTTTAGGCTTTGCTTTCTAGTTTTTTATATCTGAAGTTGGTACGTATTGCAAAAAGGTTTTTAGAAGCCTAAAATGATGTTATAAAGCAAGCTAGGCACCTAAATTAAAAAGTGTCATGTTGATATTAATTTCTGTTCATCTGTTATTGTAATCTAACCCTGTGCTGCTGAAGTTTATGAACTTTCACATTTTCTAGACACTATAAATCTTGCTGTTTGCATGGTTTGAATCATCTGATTCTTCTTCGACTGGGCAATCTGGTCTATATCCATCTTAGTCTCTTTAGTGTCCCAGCCTAGTAGGAATTCCCAGATCATATCTCACTTGGCAACAAAAATGAGCACCCTCCAAATCGCAATGGTATTTGCAGAGACAACATGCTTCTATTAAAATGTTGTATGGGCAGGAGCAGCCTCTCTTCTACAGCAGTGTGGTTTGGAAGGTTTCAGTCAGTGAACCGAGTGCCTTTGCAGGTCATTTGAAAGGAGCAGAAGCTGCAGAAAGCTAACAAGGCAAGTTTGGCAGTGTGGTGCCTCCCATAACGGTGCAGAACATCTCACTGGTCTTGCATTTCTGTTGCCTTGCAAAACACGGCGGGAATTTTATGTTTTAATATAACCAAAAAGCAGTTATCTAAATATCTCAAAGGTCACCCAAAAGTTTTCTACAGAGCAAGGGAGGCAGTTGATGGAACATTCGCATGCACAGAGAGCTGATAACTCCTTCCATCTTTCTTGCCACTGGCCTTCTAGATTTTGGTGGTGATGGCTAAAACACTGCCACTGCCTAATTCCTTCGACAGGTGAAGTGCAAGGACTGTTAGGATTCTAGTGTGAGTAAAAAAAATATTCTCTACTGATTACTGTTAGTCAAGCCTTTTTTTTTGTTGCCTGAGATGATGAAAATTTGAGACAGTCTTTGCTGATCAAAAATGATGTTGTCCCTAAAATGCTACCACCCCTACCAGCAGTTACAGCCACGCCTTTCACTAATAGGTGCTGTTGCTGTGCATTTTCAGCATGCCAGTTGATTTTGGATACAAGATAGACAGTGAGAATTGAATCTTAGATTGAAGCAGTGTTGTGACTGAGAAATGTTTCAGTCTTGCTCATCATTATATTTTTATGCAGAAAGGCAGGAAATTATTTTGCAGCCAATACAATCCAAAAGGAAAGGGGGAACATTGTATCATTGCTGCTTGGTCTGGAGAGGGAACATGGTATATGGCCCAAATCGGAATGGGCTGCATGGTTACTGGGTTCACTGATGATGAAAACACAGAAGAGCTGTTGTCTGCAGCGAAAAGCATGGCAAGAGAAATGCCAAGTAGGAGGAAATGCACTTTACTATATCTTTTCAGATAATGATGTTAGATAACAAATTCAGTGTCTGAAAACACTCAGAAAACTTCATACAATAGCAAATAAAAAACAGATTCTGTTCTACCTTGTGGTTGGAGGAGTCCACCAATATTGGTGCTTTCACGATTTATTTAAATTTGAGAAATAAAAGTTTGGAAAGACTTCTATGTTTTGCTCTGGTAACATTTGAGTTTATGTGTAGAATATACAAAAACAAACAGTGTGGGAGGAGGTTACTGCAGTGAGTATCTACTCATTTATGCTGCTGTTGTGGGTTAAATGTTAGCCTTGGTTGTTCAGATTTGTAAGATCCATGTGGAGCTTTACCACAGCAGTGAATAGCTACCAATGTGCCAGCTAATTTGAGAAGCATCTTGCTGCATAAAATGCTGTTAGGAAAGGTGTTTCTAATTTTATTTGTCTTGTGACTTCGGTTTTTTTTGCAAACTATTTTTTTCAGAGTATTCCATTCTTCATTACTTTTATTGGGCTGGAATTTGCTGTCAGYTGGATTCAGAAGCGTAAGCTGCCGGGTCGGATCAACGACGGCATAAGTTCTCTTTCCTTAGGTATCCTGTCCCGACTCCCAGAGTAAGTATGTGTATACAGTCTTGAGATTGTTTGGTTTTTAATCACTGAAAGGGAAGAAAAGAGCATTATATATTGAATTTGTTAYTGCTAGCCCAAAATGATTAAACAAGGCATCTGGACCTTTATGCAGTTTAATTTTAGCGATGTGTATAAAACCTTTCTGATCTGTAAGGCTAAATATGATTCTTAGAGGATATTGTTCAACTCCAGATTATCAGTTGATGATAAATTATATTAATCTGTATTGGATCTTGCTGTCACCTTTTGCTGTTTCTGATACTTCACCTGACTTGACTATACCTTATCTTAGAYTGGATTTTAGAATCTGAGTTTTCTTTCATTAAAATACTGAAAGAAGATAATAAAACCATCAAACCAAGTCTATTATTTTTGTTGGCCCTTAAAAATAAAATTGTGTGCATGTTAGCAGATACAGAATTGTGAATATGCATGTGATCCAAAGTTACTTAAATGCAGTTATAACCTTACATTTGACTTCAATGGACTTTAATTCCTGAGAGAATTGTTGCAAATATGATCATATAWTTCACTATCCAATGTAAAGGCCATAAGATTTACCTGAATTAGTTTGGTAAGCAGAGTTGTATTTTAARAAATGGCCACTGTAGATTAATTGTGAATTCCAGTAACAGGAAATACAGCAAATTCTTGATCAATTCCTGTAAGTGTTTTCCATAAGCTTTAGATACTTGTAATATCATGTTTTTAGATATGCCTTTGCATGAAATGAGCTTCCAGATGATAGATTTTATTGCATCTTTTCTTTTCAAATGGGATTACATTTCTATTCCCATATATGAATTTGCAGATGACCATCAAATTGTAAATAATCTTTTCATTGTAAGAGGGAAAGTTTTTATTATTTGAGTTTGACTATATGGTGTATTTGCAAGTCTTTCAGTTATTCCCACTGTTCTTTTTCTGAATCCTCTGCAGTTTTTCAGCTTTCTTAGTGTTGATGTCTCAAGTGCACTCCATATTTCAGAAATTACTACATCAGTGCCAAATAATGAAGTCATTTGTTCTCTATTTCTACTTGTTGTTCCTCCCTTTATATATCCCAGATCCTTTGAGCCRTCCTTCATCCCTGAATACTTTTTTGGATTCTGTGGCTTACATTCCTCATTCATAGGCAATATGTTCTTATATTTGGCCACACAGAAATACATGGATTGTAAATTTGGTCTTCTTGAAATAGTCTGAATCCATGAAAAGTTATCTTTTCTACTTAGAGATCCCTGTTTTTTGTCACTGCAAATTTTATTAGAAATATTTTCTTTCTGTCCAGATTCTTAATCAAATACATTAAAAGAGCATAGCAACAACAACAGAAAATTATCCCTTTTGCTTAGTATCACTCRTTTTGTGAAATTTGTAAATCATGCACATTGTAATCTATTGATCACTTGACATTAAATTAATTTTTTAAAGCTTTTTAATCAATACAATCTTTGACAGGGTCCATTAGATACAAAGACAATTCCTCATGGATTATGTTAGTTATCAGCAGTAAATATCCTGGGTGAAACWTTTTAAAGACACTCTACAAAACTCTTCAAATATCTGAAAAGAAGAGGCGTGAACTTTCAACATGAGAATTATTCAAACACAAAGTTTTATCTTCTAACAAACTAAAGTCTAAGTTATTTGTGAATTTTGTGAAGTTATTTTTGCAACTAGTGTACTACCTATATTCAAACCATTTTTAATGACTTGTGAGCATGATCTCGAAGGAGCAACATTCAGCTTTTCAATCTGTTTTATGAATTAATTAAATATTTATAAGTATATTAGATTTATGTGCAGCAACACACAACCCTGATAATGGCTTACTGTGGTTTTCAYGAAGCTAATATTGAAATAGATCAAATAGTTTTTTGAACTCTACTCAAATTTTCTAAACTTGACAGGCTCACCATACTAAATATTTACCTTTATTCATCTTAAATGCTCAGAACTGATTAAGTTAAACAAAGGGACGGAGATACATGTAAAAAAAGTTTGAATGTTTTTGCAAGTCCTTTTGGCTTTATTTTAAGAATACTGAAACACTTCAGATACACCCATTTCTAAAAGAAATGCTTGCTAAGAAAAGCAAGTTGTGTGTGTGGAATGCAGCTTTGCAAGGTGCTGAGTACTTTTATTATTTTGGCACTCAGTCCTTTGCTGTAGAATCTGCCTTGTGGGCTGTGCAGTTTTCTTTTGCAAGATTGTTTCAGTTGAGTGAACCCAATGATCCTTAAGGACTCAMAGTTTGCATGGTCAGGCAAATTGGCAAGATTGGTAAACCTATTTATTGCTACTYCAGCACAAGAAGTCTCTTCCTGGCTGCTTGTACAGCTCTTATGACTGGAAGCACCAGACACTCCTCAGCAGTTCTTTCCAAAAAAAGAGATCTGTAAAACTTCTAGCTTTTTGGCTGAATGTRAAAGAAGCAAGCAAAATACAGAGTTCCTAAATTACTTAATCKCATGTTAATATCACARTTCTAATGGYGACTGCTTAGTGTCACACCTCTTTYRTAAGTAAGAGGAGTTGTGAATAACTGGCTAAAAGGGCTTGAACTGAAAAAACCAGAACACTTTACCCTTTCATCTTGTGCTTCCATGGTGTGAAAGAACTGGGTCAGACAAAAAAGGAGAAAAAAATRGCACAGGCAAAATCTGTTGCTATGACTTTCACTTCAGTCTTTCCCTTTCAGGCAGAMAAAAGTAGGGAAAGCTGACAGAAACTGCTAAAACAATATTTCTGCAGAACCCACAGCATCAGGGGAAATAGTAGTGCAAATCATTAACAGCTGAAGGTTAGATTAACACACCATTGATTGTATCCTCTCCCAGGGACTAATTTTCATTTTCTCAACTAGCAGCAATGGTTTGCCACTTCCTTTAAAATTCTGTGGGTATAAAATGGTGGCTTCAGTCTATTAGTTAAAATGAAGCTTCAAATGTGTCATTGCAAAGAGGTCTTTACATTTAATGAAAAAATTAGGAGTCACTAACCATGTTCAGCCTCTAAGTATTTTTTCCATTTCACAGTCTGTATAACTATATATAAAGGTATTGTGTATCTTGAGGGCAAACTGTATTTATTTAGTGTTTGATACTTCAATTTTCTGTTGAGAAAGTGAAATTCATAAATTGTTGGTATTTGTATGCCAAATGTTAAAAYTGTAGAGGAAATGTCTAATCAGACAAGGCAATGTTTTTGTTTTCAATCTTATTAGACTCAATAACTTGAAGTAAATTGAATTGTTGGTGCATACATATCATCTCTTGTAAAATAGCCCATAAATTTCTTCAATATATAATTTTCTCTGCCTTGATGCATACTATGCATTCCTCTGCATGTATGAATACTAAATGTTGGATGCAATGAAAATTAATTTGGGAGAAGGAGAGAAACTTGTATTACTGAGTTTACTTCCAGCATCCTAAATGTTGGTAAAAGAATTCTGAAAACTTTTATTCTAAATAAATAARTAAATACCATTTTCTAGCTAACCATTGCCAAGAGACTTTAAATGCTGCTTTAAAAATACTCTCCCTAGAGAAAGTTTATTTTGGGTATAAATATCCATTATACAAGTATGTGCATTATTTCATATTGACCTGTTTCTTCTTTTAAAGCAGCAGAACATAAATCAAATCAAAAAGTGTTTGGGGGATAACTGAGGTAGGTTCATTTTCAAACTAGTTGGGAAAGAATTTGTTCTTTATGGTCACACCCAGTTGCCAATTTTTAGTGTTCTGCTCYGCAGCACAGTAGTACAGTGTATGAGTATATATGTATATAATGTCTGACAGTTTGGTCAGTCAAGTTCTKCAATGAACTTCTTCATTTCTAAAGAGAACATTACAGTCTGTATACATTATTTACTTTGATTTCTGAATCAGAGGAAGTTAGAGTTCTCTGAAGTGTTGAACATGAGAAGGGAAAGAGTTAATGTGTTTTGATTAGTTCATGCTATTAAGTATCTTAAGATATTTACATAACAGCAATAGTTAAATCAAAGGAGTACAAACCCTGTTTCCACTGCAGGCTGGTGTATTCAGTTTTGTTCATCATCTGGATTTTAAATAATATTTTTTTCAGAACCTGGATTGAAGAGGTGGTTTCATGTACATTTTAGACCAGCGATGCTCCCAAATGGAGYACATTTGATTCTTCTTGTTCATTTCTCCCTCTGTGCCTTCATCTCTCTTTGGCCAGCATCATCATTTGTGTTGCTCTGTGGTGAAGTGGTCTGGGAAGTAGGTCCAGCACCTCCCCATCACATTAACCTGCATTAATTCTTACTGTGTCTGTGCAAAATCTTGTGCTAGAACAGGAAATGGGATCGGAAAAAAAGCAGCCAAGGTTACAGGACAAGAAACACTCAATGCTTTTGTAGCATTACTGAGTTATCTGCTTTATAACATATATAAAACTGCAGTCTGAAACTAAAGGTTTTCAGTTTTTAATAGTAACAAAATGCAGAGCTGATTAGGATGTACTTGATTCAAGTTGATGCAAGTTGTTCACAAGTCAGTGGAGTCAGGAATGTGCTGACAAAATACAAAATAATTGCCTGCATGGATTTATCCATTTGAAGTGTGTGCTGCTTTCCTGAAGGACCTACTAGATACTTCGTGTGTGACTATAGAAAATTATAATCTCATAAATTAGTGATTATATTTCTTAGAACAAAATTTGATACCTGCAGTTTCTCGTAAATTATGTTTTCACTTCAAGACATATTAGGTACATTTTTTCTTCTCATCTGTTTGACTAAGACTCTGGACAGATGTTTGTTTAGAGCATGGTCAGATATGTTGCTTCTGGTCCAGCTGCCCCCTCAGATCTGCCAACATAACTGCACATTTAATTGCTTCCTAACCTGGTCCTGACAAAGTGRTCTCGCTAAAAGCAGAAACAAAAACCCCCCAAGAACTATAAAAGAGGTGTTTAAGCTCAGCTGCATTCATTTTGACAGAGCC